GACGATAGAAGTCAAATCAAGGCGTCAAAGATAACAAGACCTGTGCTTACTAGAATCCCATCAGGTTTTGGATCGCCTGCAAGTTGGAAAACCATTCTGAAGATCCTTCGCGTGGCTCAGCCGGTTTCCAAGCTGGTGCAAGAGATCCGTCTTCTTCTGAACCGGTCGGATATCGAACGTTATAGGTGACGTATAGAATAGATAATAGCAATACATGAGGCAGTATAAGAATCAAACGAGGGTAGTAGCCTAAAATGCCTTAAGCAATTATGCCATTTGAACGAATGAAGAAACATACAGATAAATGAATATGCAATCATCCATGATAGAGTCACTTTCCAGCCTTTTCGCCAGAAGATGACCTCCTCAACTCGGTCTTGCAGCCAAAAGACCGCTCCGCTCTTTGAAACAAATCTCCTAAAATTCGCAGTAGTGATAGGAATAGAAAGCGGGTCACGCGTTGACAAAAGCCGTCCGGCCGTCTGACGTGGGTTGGATGGCGTGGACGATGCAGCCGGTACGTTGAGAGCAGCCGATATGACGGCGTTGGTCAAATTACCCGCTATCGAAGAGGTCGAGTTGCTTCTAGTGTGACCAGAGGTTTGCTCGGAAGATTGTCGCGTGAGTCGGGGAGAAGGAGGAGCTGGTAGTGCACCGATTTGTTCGAGCGATTCTTGTGATCCTTCTGTAGCTATTGGAGTTGCATAGGGTGGAATTTCCACCCAGCTTTCTAGAGCAGCCATATTTGCCTACCAAAATGTTGTGCAACTGCCAAGGTGTGCTGCACGTGATTGACACGGACAAGAGGATACCGTAATCCTATAAAAATGCAACCTATATGTCGTCCCAATGGTCTTTGTAACGATGGATATCAACAAGAAGTGGTACGGTGAGATTAGGTAGACAAGTCCGATGGTGGTCGGCGACAAGGACCCTATTGAGCTCTGGAAAGCGTCACGTCATGTGCAATAGACAGGATCTCGTCCAGAGGATAGCAGGGCACATTCTCAATGTAATCTCAACTTAAATGGACAATCCAAAGATGCTGGCAGTCATGTAACGATTACAGGATCTGGACGTATCTGGTCGATTCTAACAAAAGTACAGCACTCCGTCAATTCAGCGAGCCCTGCGGCAGCCTAATCTCAGCACGAATGAAATCAGCCCAACGAGCGCGATATGACTATTAAAGAAAATGGCAGGGAAATTTTATGGATTTATCTCTCCAACTCTGCAGAGATCCTCTATCCACCTGCTTCCTTGCCTTCGTTTCTCCTGCATAAAAAGACAATGAACTGCTTTACCTTCCTAGGCGGTTAAAAAATCTTGCTTTAGGCATACTGATTCTTTTGATGCTATTGTTCACCAGTTTGACACTGTGATTATGGGTGCGGTAAGCGGCTCTAGACGGGGGCGGTCGAAGACGGTGTGAAGTGAACCACCAACGCAGCGAATCGGACGTACCTCCGTTGTATGAAATTGTTAAACTATCGACCAGTAGCCCCGAGGACCCGACGTAACGGGCTGCATACAGTACGCCTAATTCGGAGCAAATTAGGAGTGGCTATTACAGGACACCAGGAAAAACTAGAAACAGCTGATTAATATGCTCATCCGTATATCTTCTTCGACATACAAACTGGCCATCGGAGCTTACTCAGCCAGTGCTCTCTCCCGCGAGGCATCGGTGTTGCTCCAGGCGCCGTTAGAAATGTCAACGGTGGTCTCGTTCACTCAGCTGATCAAGGACCAACCGCTGTGACCGAGAACAAGACCCGGACTTATGCTTTTTACGAGGATTCGGAACTCATCACGCGCATTTGAACAACGTAATTCTCGTATTACCATTCTCTGATGTCATGACATTGGAAGATGGTCCTGGGCCCCCCCTTTAAAACGTTCGATCGTGAGCATTTCCAGTAAACCTATTTCGACTGCCCACAATGACTTCCAATCTACAGATCATCACCCTACCCAACACGCTCGCCACCACCCCCCTCGACGAGATCCTCCAAGGACTCTGTCAGCCAACGGGCCAGAAATCTCTCCCGACGATACTGCTTTATGATGAGCTCGGTTTACGTCTCTACGACGATATTACGACCAAAGCAAGCGAGTACTACCTCTTCCCAGCCGAGGAGCAGATCCTCCGAGACAACGGGGCCAGTATCATTCGCATGATGCACGGTGGCTCTCCTGTTCACCCTGGTGAAGTCGTCCTTGAGCTTGGCGCTGGGTGAGTGTGATTTACGCCCCCCTTGTTTCTATTCTCGGACCAATTGTTCTGACACGCGCGTCGTCGTCGGCTACAGCGCTCTTCGAAAGACATCCCTCTTGCTTCGATCGCTCGCCAACGTGTCTCCCAAATCGGACCCGCCAGCCGTAACGTACCTAGCACTCGATCTAGAGAGGCGTGAACTCGACCGTACGCTCTCGTCCATCGCGTCCTCCGAAATAGGACCCCTACTGGTGGACCGAGTGCGAATTGGGGGGCTGTGTGGGACCTATGACGATGGAATCGCCTATGTGCGAGGAGGAGGGCTCAGCGAGATGTATTCATCCCCTTTACTATCTCCTTCCAGCTTGAAAAGTGGGGTGGCCGACAATGGGGACAACTCGACCGTAAACGCTCAAGTCGCTTCTGCTTTGAATGACAAGGACGCCGGTCACTTTCCCACATTAAACTCGTTAGAGGCAACCTCTGCCGGGCGTCAAGATAGTTTACCTTCCCCAGCAGAATCCGATGAACATGATATAGACCGCCCATCCAGCCCCCTTACGTTCACGGAAACCCAATCAAGCTATTCGACAGATTATGATGAGACCCCACCTCTCCATCTACTGTTCTTGGGCTCTTCTATTGGTAATTTTACGCGAGAGGGGGCTGCAGACTTCCTTCGATCATTGCCACTTAGATCTTGGACAGGCGGACCAGACTCCATCTCTGGCAGGCCATTAGGCGACACTTTATTACTCGGCTTAGACCATGACAATGAGCCTGAACGAATCGAGAGGGCATACAATGATCCGGCCGGATACACTCGGAAGTTTATTATGAACGGCCTTGCCGGGGTTAGGCGGGCTTTTGAGCAAGCAGGTTACCCCAAAGAAACAGTCTCTGCATTCGACGAACAAAATTGGGAATATCAAGAGCAGTACAATACTACCGAGAGTATGACAGACTTATCTTGGAGGTGGAATCAGGAGGAGCTGACATTTATATAACAGAACGCCATGAAGGTCGATATCTCTCCAAGTCCACACGAACCATAGTCTTGGGTAGGGATCAAATTGAAATGCAGCAAGGGGAGACCATCCACATCGAACATTCCTACAAGGTGGGTCCCTTGTTATCGACTTTGCCATTACGTAATGGCTTAAACATAACTCCTGTGGGACTAATCTAACCTCGTACGTCAATAATTGCAGTATTCGGAGTCAGCTGCTCAGCAGCTGTTCGATAAAGCCAATTTGGCGCCCATTCATCGGTGGACCTCCGCGAATGGCTTATATTCCCTGTGGCTGCTCCACCGTCCCTCCTTCCGCTTCCCCATCGCACCCAACATCATGAAGACGTTGACCACGCCCGAAGGCAAGACGATCCAAACGCCATCCGCGTTTCCCATGTCGTCTTCACCAAGATTCCCTTCCATTCCGACCTTGGATGAGTGGTCTGATATGTGGAAGTTGTGGGACACTGTAACCCTTGGGATGATATCGCCCGAGATGATGATGCAGCGTCCTATCGATTTGAGGCACAAGTGCCTATTCTACTTGGGCCACATTCCAACGTATGTGTTCTTGTAATCGTGGGGATCTTGGTGTCTTGACGGTCATTAGGTTCCTCGATATCCACATGTCCCGCTTGCTTGGTGAACCACATACAGAACCAGACAACTTCAAGGTAAAACATAATCTCTACTTTGTTGTGCATCGGTCGTTGATCCGGTGCACCAGTACATCTTCGAGCGAGGCATCGATCCTCATGTGGATGATCCTACTCAGTGTCATGTGAGCACTTTTACGACAATCACTTGCAGTATAAATCGAGTTTACTCACTCCACATATTCAATCCATAGCCTCATTCGGAAGTACCTGAAAACGACGATGAATGGCCAAGCCTTGATTCGATCCTCGCTTTCCGTGATCGCGTCCGGGACAGACTGAGGTCTGTATATGCGAGACTCGAATCAGGTGAACTCGAAACGAAAGGTGTCCCAATACGAAAGGCAAAACGGGTTCTGTGGATGACCTTTGAACACGAGGCGTTCCATGTTGAGGTGGGTGGACTTGGATCCCACATTCCTCGAGTGGATGAAATTAAAATTGTTTTGGTAGACCCTTCTCTATATGCTCGTCCAGAAGGCGGGTGAAGAGGGAGGGACTCGACCTCCTCCAGGAATTGTACCTCCTGATTGGGAATCGCTTCAGCAAAAATGGCAACAACGCCAGAATTTAGAAAGCAAGGAAGAACCTACCGTGACACTGGGCCCAGCCCAGGTAGAGATTGGCCACAACGACTTCGAAGCGGACGACTTGGTCGAATTACAAAGCTTGAACGATGACCATGAGTTTGGGTGGGATAACGAACACCCCAGGCGAAAGGTGGCAGTCGAAAAGTTCAAGATTGAAAGAAAGCCAGTTAGCAATGGAGAGTACTATCTCTACTGGAGCAACCTGAAGGATCAGAAGGACATGCCGGCAAGCTGGGTATCGCAGGATGGCCAAATCATGGTAGGAGATTATGTTTATCCAGCCTTTGAAGTCATGGGGGCTAACAAGATGTTCATCTAGGCCAGAACGTTGTTTGGCCCAGTGCCGTTGTCGGTTGCGCGAGATTGGCCATTGATGGCCTCATATGACGAGCTCAACGGCTACGCCCGCTCTAAAGGGGGTCGCATACCTACCGAAGCTGAATTGAGGCTTTTTATGGATGATCAATCTTCTCGTGGAGATGTATCTGTTTATAATAACGCTGGCTGGGGTTATCAACGTTGGTGGGTGGAGCCGTGAGTATAGTTGCCACAACCTTTGGTGGCCAGTAGAGCTCATCGTTACTTCGCAGTCCTTCTCTAGGAAATCCTACAAGAAATGAGGCACCACATAACGGTGGAGTATGGGAATGGTCCTCAACGATCATGGATCGACACCAGGGCTATGAATCGTCGATCCTCTACCCCGGCTATTCCTCTGACTTCTTCGACGGGGTTCATCATATCGTGGTGAGGGTTGAATTAAATGTTTGTTAAGACCTTACAATGCTAAATTTGTCAAATTCCATAGCTTGGTGGATCCTTCGCCACCATCCCGCGGTTAGCTCAAAGGCGATCCCTTCGCAATTTCTATCAACACAACTACCCGTATGCCTGGATTGGAGCACGCATAGCATATGATGCTTAGATCAACCTACCTGGGATCAGGAGCAATACTACGGATCTCAGGGAAAAAATCAAGGGAATATGGGTCAAAAGCAGGATATTGACACGAACTAAAACTGAGTCGTAGAACATGTATCATTTTAGGAAAGGAAAATAGACCACAGCACGAATTGCATC